TAACCTTGAATTATATCTCTTAAGATTCTATCTAGTGAGCAGAGAAATAGTGAAGACAAGCAACATGGGGTGTGCCTTGTTAAACAGCTCTGGCCAAGGTGTGTCATTGTCTCAGCTCTAATTCTGCAAGGTGGTCCAAAGACGTCCTCAGGGAATCATTCAGGGTGCGCTTCTGCCTCAGGCTGCAGCCCCACCCTCTGATGTCACTGCCCTCATCTGGGGGTGATCTCCCTGTGAGGCTCTGATCCTCTTGGAGTTCAAGGTTCAGGACCATGACTGACACTGTACTCCCAGCCTTGAGGCAGGACAGGGTAGGTAAAGCAGACACTCCTTGAGGGGTTACCATGCTTGAAAGAGGTGTCAGACTTCTTCCTGCCTTTAGTCACCTGGTGAGTCCAGGGGAGTCAAAGTTTTGTAGCAAAAGCAGCATTTGTGTGCCTGTTAAATTTCATGTGGAAGTTGACCTTATTGCCTTAAAAGCCTCCTTGTCTTTTAGAATGAGAATTGGCAAAGTTTTCTACACAAGGCAGCTAGTAGACAGGAGAGATGGCTCATTGGCTAAAGAGCTCGCTTCTCCTACAGAGGACCAAAGTTCCATCCCAGCCCCCATGTCAGCAGCTCCCAAACACCTCTAACTCCAGCTCCAGAGGATCTGATGTCCTCTGCTGGCCTCCTGGGCACCCACAAGCACATGCACATACACACAGAGAGACATATATGTGCCCATACATAAAATAAATCTTTACTTTTAAAAGCAGGTCATAAAAAATATGTTAGGCTTCTGTGACTACTAAACAAATGTCCTGGGTCAAGAGAGACACAGTACATCAAGGAATGGTGTAATCCTTGTCAGCAAGAAATAACTTCTCTGCTTGCTTACTATACGTGTGTCATAAAGGGGTGCAAAATAAACTAAAAATTAAATCGACAAGATAAATGACACACTTTTGTCATCTATGTTTAGGAGAGTTACAGAAAATGTGACTGGAGGTGGTGTTCAGAATCTCCCACTTAAATGTCATCTCAGGGTGGGAACAAGAGAAGGCAAAGAGTGCTTATAGGAATACAACCCCTAAGAAAAAGAGAGACGGAGGAGAATTTTGTGCAGTATTACTTTTTATGTATGGTCCCAACCTCTCTTCCAGGAATCTATCCTTCATGATTACAAGAATTCTGGGTAAGATTTTTAAGAAAAGAGATCTCCCAAGAGACTCAGTATGATGGTTTAAAAGTGGAAGTACGCAGAGATGACACTAAGTAAGGGATTGGGAGAGATTTAACACAGAGACATACTTTAATTAGTTGCTTTTACCCTTGTGGTGATAAAATTACTGACAAGAATCAACTCAAGGGAGAAAGAACACGCTCTGGCTTACAGTCTGAAGGTACACTCCATCATGGAAGAAGAGACATGGCGACAAGTGCAGCACCGGGCTGTGGCCACAGGTGTGAGACTGAGGTTTACACCTGAGTAGATCAGTAAGTAGGAAGACCCAATCTGGAAGTGGGCCTGGACTGTAATCCTCAAGGCTTCCTGTCCCTCTTAGTCACCCACTTCCTCTAGCTCAGCTCTGCCTGTTAAAGGTTCCACAGCTTCCCAGACTTCTCCAGAGCCTGCTCTCCTCAAGCGACATGGGGGGACTGCAAAGATGCTGGAATGTTTGACAGATTCTCTCTGCCCTTCCTCCCAGTGCTGCTTTATTTAATATAAAGCTCCAGTGCTGGTTTGTCTGTGGGATTACTTCCTGGACCTCTACATTTATTGATGAATTTCTAAATGGTCTTATTAAATATGAAACACAGAGCCAAATATAGGGGTGAAAGCCTTAGAGATCAGGGAAATAGTGATAGCCATCAACCTTACCTCTCTAGCTCTGCATCTACCAAAAAGGGCTACTTCCTGTCTTACCCACGCCTTTATGGCCTTGCTGTTCTGCCCTCTAATTGGCTCTTAGCCCAGTTACGTCACTTCCTTGTCACTGCCTGTCTGTACAGACCTCCAGGTCTCTGTGGTTGGTGCTGAGATTAAAGGCGTGTGTCACCACACTTGGCTGTTCCTTAGTGTGACCTTGAACACACAGAGACCCTGCCTGCCAAGTGATCGGATTAAGGACGTGTGCTACCATTGCCTGACTTCTATGTTCACTTAAAAATAGCTGGCCATTTCCTCTGATCTCCAGTCATGCTTTATTTATTAATATACAAATAAAATATCACCATATTTCAGCACAAATAAAATATCACCACATGCATTCATCTCTGAATGCCAATGTAAGAACAGCATTTAATCATTAGAACACTCTAATTCCTTCTCTGAATGCATTTTTAATCAAACTTCTCTCTCTTGATTTAAACCAAAAGACAATTTCTAAAGGAATCTTTGTAAGAAGAAAAAAGAAGATGCAGTGCAGTGGTGTATGTAAACCATACGCATTCAAGTCCTGTTCATCTCAAGTATGCCATGCAAACCAGACAGGCACAGACCTGGGTCATGTTCTCACCCAGCCTGTGCGAGCCTTCCATACTCGCAGCCTTAGCATAATCTTTAAATAGACACTTAAAAAGAAAACATGAGCCAGAAAGAACCTGGAGCAATCACCTCACCACTGCCCTGCTAGAGAGGAGGCTTTCTCACCTTTCATATCTTCAGGAAGAATTCTCCAAGTTCCTGTGTCTGTTCCAATGCTTCACACTGGTTATTAATTCAGGGAAATATTTTTAAAGACTAGATAGGCGCTTTTTACTCTGGCAAACCATTGTCCTTTGAGGGCTATAACCCTAGCCACAGTGAATCCCAAAGACAACAGTATAATAATAATAATAATAATAATAATAATAATAATAATAATAATACCAATACATTTATATACATCTATAATAATAACATAAAAATATTCTATGGACTTAACAACCAATTTCCCACAGATGAAAATGTCTGTGAGGAGGATTACACGTGCTGCATTAACCAGCTTTACTGGAGCCTAGAGACCATTGTTAGACAGGTATTATTATAATTTATTATGATTTTATTGTAAGTGTTTTGGGAGGGTTTCACTCTGTAGCCCAGGATAGCCTGGAACTCTGTATGTAGCTCATGATAACCTCAAAGTCGCAGCATTCTTCCTTCCTCAGCCTCTATAGTACTAGAATTCCAGGCAGGTGCCACTTTACCCAGCTTGTTAGACAGGAACCACTAAACTCATTTCAGAGCTGAGAATAGTAACTTAGTAACTTAGATTCAGATCTACTGAGTCCAAGCTTTCCCCTTTTCTCAGGATGCTACTCTAAACAGCAAGAAGACTTGTGGTCAGCTACTCTCCACTAGTCTATCTTTAACAGAGGACGACTATGTAGAACCATGCAGTAAAGAGATAAAGGCAACTTTCACTGGCTGTTTAGCCAAGGCTAACCAAACAAAATGGTTTCAGCAATGTGCTAATTGCACTCAGTAATTAGAAATTTCCAACTCCTTCTCTATCTAAATCCATTTCTAGCCAAACTCTTGCTTTGGACCAAAAGACATTTTAAAAAATCTTGAGAGAAAATACTAGAATGAGCTGTACAAGGCTGTAGGGGGACAGGGGGTGAAACGGGGGAGGGGAGGGGAGGGGAGGCTGACACAGCTGCTGCACTGTTCTAACTCCTTTTTGTGAGGTTCATCTTTGTTTGCATTCAAATATACATAAATGAATGTATGAAAACTTGTATTTTTTATCTGTACATAATAGTGGGTCTTTAAGATTTTTATGGTGATTTTTAAATTTATAAATAAAGACACATATAAAAACCTAGAGAAATCAAATACCTCTACCTATGGATCCATTTAATGTGGTGCTGGGATTTGGCTAAGATGGCTGACAAATTCTAATTTAACCATTAGTATCTACAAAAACAAAATAGCCATACTGTGCTCTTACTAAGTGAACACAGATGATAACCAGTGAAGTTCTTCAGTTCCTTCACACAACTCAGAACAGAGTCCTGAAGAGCTCTGCTCCTCCCTGTAAGTGTAAGACCACTCTTGGTGGGGAGGCTCAAGCTTGCTCTTAGGGAGAGTGGTTTGTTCCTGAGGTCAAGGGTTTGCTCCTTGATGTCCGTCCATAAGGCCCTTTGAACTCCCGTTCTGTCACCAGGCCACTGAACTTCCAGATTCCTAATCTGGTCTCTGAGGTGCATGTCTGTAAAACTGGTACCTGGAGACTATGACCAGCCTGGACCATATAGCATGGACCCTGTCTCAAAATACCAAATGTAAAGGGGCTTCAGATTCTTTATTCATAGAGACAACAATGTCACACAAAGCACATAACTACTGTGTGGTCTAATTCAGACCGCTCACATTTGGGAGAGCAGGCATAAGAGGTACAGCTCCCCATCACCCTCAATGTTAGCATTTAGGCGTCTGTACTGGCCTGCCCTTAGGGTCCTGACAGGATATATCCTCAGCTGCAGCAACTAAGCAAAGCCCCGCCCCCCATGCCCCATGTGCATTCGCTAGGTTTCCTTATAATAGGCGGCCTTGCCCACTTCCTGTCTCTTTCTCTTCCTTTGCTCTTGTCCCCAGGGACTGGTCTCTGCCCCCTTCTCTGCCCCTCCTCTCCTCTCCCTTCAATAAACCTCCCACATGGGCTCTGTTGAATAGTGTGACTCCTTCTCGTCGTTTTTAATCCTACCTCAATCCAGTAATCAAGACATGCCCCAGAAACATCTTCCCAGGCTGACCCAATCCAAGGAAGGAAAAACAAAATAAAACATGGAATTTGGATCAGAAAGTGAGATCAATCAATTGTTGAATCCTGATTTTATCTCTTAAATAGTTCTTGCAAGAAGGCAAGTTGAAAATGGATGGCAGTTGTACTACAGTGATGCTCAGAGTGGGCTCAAAGGGATCAGGAGGGAAGATATCCCAAAGAGGCAAAGCCGCACTGGGTATCAGTGTATTTGTTTGTGTATTCGTTACTTTTTGTTGTTCTAATAAAAACACCATGACCTGCAGCAACTTAAGAAGAGTTTAGTTTATTGTCCCAAAGGGGGGTTCCATAGTGACAGGGGAGGCATGACACCAGGTGGATGTGTGAGGATTTAACTGGGAATAGGCAACTGGGGCAGAGGTCAGAAGGCAAGAGATAAAATTCCCACATCAGCAGCTCAACCAGCGAGATAATATCCTGATACTGCAGCCAGAATGCTTCCTATGTCACCGGACTGGACCAAAGGCCATCTAGGTTGAGGAGATAAAGTAATGAGAGGGGAAGAAGAGGTTAAGAAAAAGTGGGGATCAAAAAGGGGGAGAGCCAGGGGTACTATAGAAGATGAGCCCAGAGTCCACTTGATGGTCTACAGCTCTGAGATACGACCTTTCCCAGCCTGGTACTTTCTGCTTCAATAAACACACGTTTTCATCCTTTCTGAACCTTCACTTATTTCATTCCTGGGCATTCAATTCTTTGTTGGACTCTGAGAAGCTAACCTATAACCCTAATCCTTTCCTTCCCCTTTCCCCAAAACAGCTGGTGCAGAAAGCTGAGCGATCACACCTTCAACCATTCACGGAGAAGAGGAAGTGAAGCGGAAGTGGGGCAAGGCTACAAATTTTCAAAGCCCACTCCCAGTGGCATGCTTCCTCCAGCAAGGCTATCCCTCCTAAAGGTTTCACAACCCCAACAGCATCACCTACTGGAGATCAGGTGTTCAAACGCATGGACCCACGAAGCAGAAGCACATTTCTCATCTAAACCACTACACTTTGTTAGCAGAAGGAGCCTCCAAACTGAAAATGTATAAAGAAGTCCTGGCTTTGGGTTAAGGATCTAGAAAGCATGGACTGGAACAGGAGAGGAGTATTTTGATTAGAGGTTCCTGAGTGGACACGTAGACACCATATTAAGAGTGAAGCCATCTGAGTCACATTCATATTCACCAAAAGCACCTGCACAACAGAGGTAAATGACTGCCAATTCACACTAACCAGCCTTACTAGCTGTTTCGAAGCTCACACAAAATACATCTGGCTAGCAAAAGTGGTGGAAATGGACCCAACAATATCCAAGTGGCTCACTTGCATAGCTTGTGATATGGCCTCATGTGTGAATTCCAGTGTCTTGTGACACATACACAAGGCAGAGAACTTCAGAACTCTCAAAAAGGTCCAGTACCTGTGACCAATAAACATTTAGAAAGAACTGAGTAGGCAGGGTCTCAGATTGAAGTGCTTGTGACCAGGTTAGAATTACAGGCAGGCTACGGTTGCCTGACATCTGCATGGATGCTGGGAATCTAAACTCTGGCCCTCATGTGCATGAAAAATATAGAGGACAATCACCAATGACTCACATTACTTAGGAGTGAAAACTTGGGTTACAGCACCAGGGGGGCCACCAAGGCCTGCCAGGATGATGGCTGAGGTGACTGATGTTACCATCTAAGGGTTTGGGTTGAGTTTTCGTCACCAGTTAAAGAATTAAAGGGGAGCCGGGCGGTGGTGGTGCACGCCTTTAATCCCAGCACTTGGGAGGCAGAGCCAGGTGGATCTCTGTGAGTTCGAGGCCAGCCTAGGCTACCAAGTGAGTTCCAGGAAAGGCGCAAAGCTACACAGAGAAACCCTGTCTCGAAAAGCCAAAAAAAAAAAAAAAAAAAGAATTAAAGGGGAAATTTTTGAGCATGACACATGCAGAAGGGAGAGATCTCAAACACAACAGACAAAATCAGCTGATGAAAAAAGGCTTTCATGAGGGGTGAGGAAATGCTTGCACACACAGCAAGCAGAGAGAGAAAGAACCCTTTGCAAAGCAAGGGTTGGATTTGGGAATCTGAAAATCCAGTCTTTCCTCAAGGGCTAGAGGCTTTATGGGACTTCAGGGGTCTTCCTCCTCTAATTCAGTATTGGTCAGTTTGAACAAAGACAGGGTGCTTTTCTGTCTTATAGAGTGGGCATGGCATAACAGAAGAACCCCGGAGCCCCTTCTTGTAACAGGTCACAAAGCAATTTTAATTGTGATGAAATTGTTCATTTTGAGTGAAGCAGCATTTACAGATATGCATGTATGTTTATCAAAACTTATGTAACTACACTAAAAGCAGGTTGTATGGCAATATCTTAGAGCTCATTTTAAAAAGCACCGTTGATGTACTTTGGAACACAAATGAGTCACCATATCCTGCTTACCTTTCCAACACCCTTTAGGCTCTATTCCCTTAAGGGGCTCAAGCTTCCTGGGGTTAACTCCTATCTCAACAGCCACTTAGATTTCTAAGATAAAGTGGTAGCGGTGCTCATACTATAACATCCTTTCCTCTTGTATCAGTCAAGGTTCAGCCTGAGAAACAAAGCCACAGAGGCGAGTACTTCTTATATGGATCAGGCGTCACACAACTTCAAGAACTGCTTAAGTGTCTTCTGAAATGTTGCTGTGACCTTCTGGTGCTGGAGTTGGAAACACAGAGCAGGTGCAGGGAACGGAAGACAACTGTAAGTTCCAATAGCCAACCATGACCCACAAATACGAGGAACTGAAACGTTGGCAAGTTCCTGTTCTTTATTTTGATGGCGTGGGCAGGAGCTAGTGTCATGGAGCCAAAAGCATACCTTTGCAGGAGTTGGGAACGATTCAGGACTCACAGGAAGAAGAGTTGCAGGCTCACCCACTGACTCACATTAAAATTCAATAACATCTTTCATATCATTCATAAAAAATCTCTTAAAACTAATCCTAAGCAAAAAGTGAATGCTGGGAAACAGTTCAGCCCAGCCAAATGGACACATTACAAAGCCACCCTGCCATTTCAAAACCTAAATGGCTTATTACCCTCACTTCCTTAAAACGTGCTGAGTTCTCTGTGACCCAGCATCTAACAGGCCTTCTGACATCTCCCAACCTCCCACCTCAGAGTATATTGGGTTTGTTTAGTATAAGTGTTCTAACTTCTAGAACTTTCTACATTGAATCCTCTCAGGGTGGAACACCCTTCCTTTCTCATCTTCCCCCTTAACCTGAGATTTGTTGACTTACGTATTCAGCCCCGCTTTGGAACTTCTCTAGTGCATACTTTTTTACAGGTGATAATGCAGGGCACCCATTAAGTTCTCAGCTGAGCAAACACGTTAATGGAAATTAATACTGATTAGTGCTTGAGCATTAGAGGATTGAGAACCATTGTTAGAGTCAGTGTAGTTCTAGCCTGCTAAAACTAATCCAGGTGTGGTGCCACAAACTTATAATGCTTGCACTAGGGAATTTGAAGCCTGCCTGTTTTTCAAGACAAGTTTGAGGGCAGCCTGAGATACACAGAAAATTTGGCGCCAGCTTGTGCTACAAAGTGAGACCCTATTTTCTTTTTTTTTCATTGAAAAACTGGGCTCCGTAAGCTGGCCCAGCAGATAAAGGTGCTTGCAATATACGCCCGAAGACCTGAGTTCCATCCCTGGAACTCATATAACAGTGGGGGGAGAAAACAAACTCCACAGAGTTGTCCTCGGACCACCATTTTGGCACATGCACCCAAAGACATGCCCCCAACCAACACACATACAGATTTTATGAACCAAGGACAAGGGGCTGAGAGATGGCTCAGCACTTAAGAGACTTGTTGCTCTGATAGAGGACCTGGGTTTGGCTCTAAGCACCCTCATGATGATTCACAACCATCCATAACTGAAGTTCCAGGCTATCTGATGCCTTGCTCTGGCCTCTCTGTGCCCCAGACTCACACATGAGGTACATACATATATGTGCAGGGAAAACATTCATATGTGTTATTTAAAAATCTCAAAAAAAAATAAAACAAGAACAAAAAGTTTTAAGTAAAATGTGGGAATGTTACTCATTTCTGCAGAAAGACATATAACCATTTTTCCTCTTTTTCAGTGTCTCATTGTGTGAGGTACTGAGAAAGTAGAGTCCAGGAGAAGGCAGCTTGTTTGGGGATGGCTCATGGGATAGGGATAAAAGCCATGAAAGTTGAACAGGACAGAGAGGCCGGTAAAGGTGTCCCTGGGCAGGGAAGGCTGTGAGTGCCTGAACGAAGCTCCCTATCACTGAGGACCTGAGGGTCTGCATGGAAATGGAGCACTTACTCTGAAGTAAATGCCCCATCCGCAAATGCTTCCCTGGCTTATTGTCACCTCCAGGAAACTTGCTCCTCTGGCTTTAGAGAAATTCCCAAGGCAGAAGTAGAGGGCCCACGAGTTCTTAGAATAGGAAGCTGCTAGAATACTGCCACAGGCACAAAGAGGTAGACTGAGGCAAGGGGGCCTAATTTACCAAGAGTCTCTTTGCAAAGGATCTTTTTGTCCATTCTTCACGGCACAAATACACCCAGAATAAGAAGTGTCAAACAGTTTCACTTCCACCTTCTGAGAAGTGAACACTTGAGAGTTCGGGGAAATTCCATTAACGACACCTAGATAGGTGAATAGGTCATCACTGGTCACAGCTGTCCTCAAAGGATGCTGACTGATGACACACACTCCCACTTGTATCATCTTTTCCTACATGCAGTACAAAAACGGTGTCCCTGGAGTTACAACATGCAACAGCACAGCCTTGCTTGGAGGAGCTACTCTCTAAATAAATGTCTGAAAAGGACAGGAATAGATAACATAGCATTAAAAAATATTTGATTCAGAGCATTAGGAAAATACAAATTAATCATTCTTGGGTGCAGGTTATTTTAGGCCCCAGAAAACATAACGACATGTCTAGAGACAAAACTGGTTGTCACTAGTTGCCCCTGAAATCTCACAGAAGACACCAAGTTGCTGTAAAATACCCATAGAGCACTGGGCAGCCCCGTCCCTAGCAAGAACTACTCTACTACAAACACCAGTTGTGTTAAAGACATCTGGGTATTGATATTAAACATATGTATGCACATTATTATTTATACATTTATGAGAGTTAAAAGCCAATGTTCACATGCCAGCAAGACAAAGTGTTGCATTAGTACCACCAAACCCAAAGGAATTGGTGAGTCCAATACGTCGACCCTCAGTTTTCCATTCCTGTGCCTCCAGTGGAACATAATTGAGATCAAATTCTGGCTCTGTACAATCCAGGTTTAAAGTTGGTGGTAGTTTTTGATGGTAACAAGCCAGTGCGGTAAAAGCTGCCTCAACCGCCCCTGCAGCCCCCAACAGATGCCCGGTGGCTGCTTTTGTGGAAGATATGGCAAGGGCACCAGCGTGGTCTCTAAAGAGCCTCTTAATGGCCCTGTTTTCAGCGGCATCACCCAGTGGTGTGGAGGTGGCATGTGCATTGACATAGGATATCTGTTCAGGCAACACACCTGCATTTTTCACAGCAGCAGCCATGCATCTGTAAGAAAATGATCAGATAAGTTTAATTTCAACAGACTGTTCACCTGAGCAGCTTGTGTGAGAGAAAGGAAGGAAGGTTTCCAAGTACACTGGGTAAGCTCCATCCTGAGTGTCATGGCAGAGACCCTGTGATCCACAACGCCAAAAATAGCTAGTATTTCTCCTTTTACAGGAAATCCCACTAATCCTGGCAGATTTAAGTAGATAAAATGTAATATGGTCTAAGCTGAGAAAGTAACATACTTTCTAGGACTTTTTTCAAAGTGTGGTCTTTAGACTGGAGCTGGTTAGAAATGTACTCTTGAGTGTCAGCCTAGATCCACAGTCAGAATCAGCACATCAGCAAGACCCCTGGGTGACCGGACTGAGAAATGCTGCTTTGAAAGGAACAGAACCCAACCAGACACATCCACCAGGTCTTGTCTTTATTCTCTAGGTCTGATAAGGGTTCAAAGTGAAACTGAGGAAGAGAGCTGTCATAATTACCAAGCAGAAAGGGGGACATAGGGAGTCAGCAAAGACACAGCTCTATTGGCTTTGACTAAAGTCCAATTGACTAAAGTCCATTCAATTTTTGTTTAAAGATATTCAAATGTTTTCAAATATTTTAAGCAAAGAATTTAAAAAAAAGTTTAGTCTAAGATAGAAAAATATATACTATACACCAAGACCAAATAACTTTTTTTGAATTTGAAGTTCCAATAGTTTCTTACAGGAAAAAATATTTTGAAGAGAACAACCAGTCTTTACCTGAAGGCACCTTCTCCTTCAGAATCGGGGGCAGTTATGTGACCAGCATCACCTGAGAGTCCATAGCCCAGAACTTCCGCATATATCCGGGCTCCTCTCTGAACAGCATGTTCATGTTCTTCTAACACCAGCACAGCAGCACCCTCGCCCATGACAAAACCATCTCTCTCTGGATGAAACGGTCGGCAGGCCAGCTTAGGATCTGGGTTTGTGCTCAGAGCCCGGGCTCTGGAAAACCCAGCAAGAGATAATGGACTAATGCAAGAATCTGTGCCCCCAGCCACCATCACATCTGCATCGCCATGGGCTATAAATCTAAAGGAGTCTCCCACAGCATGTGCTCCTGTTGTGCAGGCTGTGGACACTGAGTGATTGGGACCCTTGAGTTTATAGCGAATGCTGACCTGGCCTGCAGCCATATTGATCAGAATCTTAGGGACAAAGAATGGGCTGACTTTATTGTAACCTTTGGTCTGAAACATCAAAGCAGTTTCAGAAACAACTTCAAGAGGAACCATGCCCATGCCAATGGCAACGCCAGTAGCAACCCGATCTGCTTCTAACTTCGGATGCCAGCCGGAGTCTTTCAGGGCCAACTCTGCTGCCCCGATGGCCATGATGGTGGGAGATGACATGGACTTGGTGTCTGATTTGGACACAAAGTTTTGTTCATTGAACTGACCTTCATCAGCACCTCTTGGCACATAAGCAGCTACACTGCAAGGAATACTCTTGTACTCATCACCAACTACAGAAACAATTCCACTTTCTCCTCGGAGAAGCCGACCCCAAACTAGTTGAGTCCCAACACCAAGTGGTGTCACTAGTCCGATGCCTGTGATGACAACTCGCCTGAGAGACACGGCTGCTGGCATAGTTCCAGAAAACTTGCGTTTGCTTATTAACCAACAGCATGATGCTGGATATGGATGAGAGCTTGTGGCTTTTAGAAATTTTAGTAAGCAGTTTGACAACATGGTTGGAATTCAGAAGATCAAAAACACATTCCTGGAACAGACCACAAGAGACAGCAAATGTCGTTTAAACAACAGAAGGGTCTAACAAATACCCTAGGTGTGCTTGCAGTCATGTGCTAAAGGCCACAGCGAAATGCCACCCTCGTTTGGACTTAACTTTTGTTTTTAAGCTGTGAGAGACTTCAGACAGCCAACTGATAGCTAACTTACTAGTTTTCAAGAAAATTGGACAAGGAAAGCCTCGAGGCCACCCCACCCTGATCCGATTGCAGGGGGCATCCACCCTTCTTTAGGCTCACTGAGGATTACTGTACAGTGTGGACTGAGTCTATGTGACATTTCTACGGTCAATGCACAGAAGGCCGGCCGTCTCGGGCCTATTCCGTGAAGTGTCCTTTATCTACTTCCCTGTAGGGCAGCGAACCTTTCCGGAGGCCCCGCCACAGCCCCGCGCAGACCTGGCAGGCAGGCTGGAAGTTACTTCCCCAGGTCAGCATTAGGAGCTCTCAGGGCTCCTCGATCACGCCACGCCCTTCACCCCAAACCTGAAACGCGGGGGCACTCGGCCGCCGACAGGGCGGACCGCAGCCACTACCTGAAACAAGCCTTGGCGGGCGCCCACCTTATGCGCATGCGCGCACACGCCCACAGCAGCAACGTTTCCGCCCGGAGACCGGCGCCTGGTGTCAGAGATCAGATGAGCAGGGCGGGACTTCCGCCGGCTTCCGGGCTCTGAGTTCGCCGCTCTGCGTACTGAGACTGTCTTTTTAGCGATCCTCACCTTGGGACACAGCGATAATGCACAGATATTTCGGTGTTGCCAGAGAAAGGATGCAATCATTTCCTCAGGAAATTCCGGGGAGGACAAAAAGCTGTAGCCTCAGTCAGGCCTCCATGGTATCTGTGGGGAAGGTATTGATAATACCACACGCCATGAAACCGAAGTCCTTTGGAGGCCATCCAAATGCCACGCAGCCACTGAAAACAATGTGAATACTGGTGAATATTTCGTAATGTGTAAAGACGTTGAGAGTATTTGTTAGGAGTTGTTAGTTGCAGAACAGAATATAGCGCTTTCAAATTTAAAGGTCTGCAAAGAAATCAGGCACAGTACACGCCTGCAATTTCAGCACTGGGGAGGTAGAGAGAGGATCAGGAACTCAATCCTCAGCAGTGTACCAAATTCAAAGCCAGCCTGGGCTACTTACCTGAAGACCCTGCCTTTAAAAAGCAAAACCTGAAGTCTCTAGTGCAGTGTTTGTGGTATCTCCTCTCCATTTTTTTCCTTACCCTTATTTACCATAGTAAACAAATAATGTAAATAAATGATGCTTCTTTAAAATTAAACTTTTGATTGCTGACTTATGGCAGGAAGTGAATGGAATATGCCCAGGATCTAAGCAGAAGCAAGAATAAAAAACATGTTTATTTCTGAGCTTATGAAAAGTTTAACTTACTTGTTCAGAGCTGATTGTGAATCTGTAGTAGGAAAGTATGAAACACAGCAAGGTGGTGTTTATAAACCATTTGTTCAAATCTGTCCCAGCTGTGAGCTTTGTTTTTCCTTCTTCAGATAAAGGATGGATTATACCATCTGCACATGAATCTTTTAATCATGCTTATGTTTCCTTATGATAACCTCTTGTGGCCATTGTTGCCAAGTATACTATTTCTTCTTTTTCAACTGCAGAAAAGATTTTGTGTCAAGCTTATCTTTTTCCTTGTTAGTCCTGGTTATGCTTTGTTTAGAAGTCTACTTTGTCTATAATGATTAGGGAAGCCAAGTTTGTCCTTGATCCCAGGGCTTTCCACTTGCTTAGTATGAGCTCTCCGAAGTGAAAATGTTACTCCCTCCTGTACCTTTGGCAATTTGTATGTAATACTGTCCCAGATGCAGGCAGCCTCAGGTCTCAGAAGGTGCAGGAGTATACAGAGTGTGGAAGGTTAACTGAAAAGGGCACTCTGTCTATGCAGCCATGGAGAAGTCATGTCATCATCCATGCTGCAATGAAACTTCCTGGTGGTGCAGATGTTTGGGGGGTCTCCCACACTCCTGTAAGCAACTGCTCACCTAGGCTCTGTAAGCAAGCCGAATAAACCTACAGGCACTCCAAGCTGGACGTTAGGATTCTTGCTTTGATTTATTGTTCATGCCCTGTAAGTAGTTATTTGTTTCCCTCTTCCCAGGGAAAGAATTCTCAAGCAATGTACACACACATAAATGTGATGTAACAAGATTGTAATTTCTATTTCAGTTTCTCTCTGATCATTTTACTTCCATCTGGAAAGGGGTAAAAATTTTACAAAATCCTAATAGCTGTAGGTGAGTTAGTACCATAGTTCTTGTTAAAATATCGTGGTGTATTGAACACAAATCTTCAAATTGGTTCTGCTTATCATAGCTTCCTCTTAAAATTTGTCTCATTCAAAGCTTTATTTCCAAATACAGTTTCCAGTTAAATAAACTTTCTAGCCAGCAAGTTGGACTCCTGTTTGTAATATTACTGTAACACTAAGACAATGAAGTCAGTGCTACTACCGCTTACAGTCAGGAAATGCTTGAAAGTTGTGGGCCGTGATTTCAGTCTGTGAAACGAGTAAAAGGATGCATCGCTAGTCACCTCGGGGAAACAGGCATTGCACTAGGAACAAAACAACAGGGCCATATGGCCAGTGCCAAATCTGAGAAGTTAGGCTCAGTAGAGCTTTATGACCTGAATTCCATTTCCAGAACACTTTTTTTTTGGGGGGGGGGGGTGGAGATAGGCTTTCCACTGTGTAGCCCTGGCTGTCCTGGAACTCAACTCTGTAGAACAGGCTGGCCTTGAACTCACAGAGATCCACCTGCCTCCCAAGTGCTGGGATTAAAGGCGTGTGCCACCATGGCTCAGTTGTTAAAGGTTAGTCTCACAACCATTTCCAGAACTCTTATAATGGAAGGAAAGAGCGAACTCCCAAAATCTGTCCTTTGATCTCCAAATGCCATGGCAAGGGCATGTATATGTATGTACTTCACACACACACACACACACATACACACAAACTAAAATAAAAACAAATATTTAAAATTAATTTTTAATTAATTTTCAATTTAATATTAAGAATATTAAAATATTAAAAATAAATATTTAAAATAAAAACTTGAGGGGCTGGAGAAATGACTCAGAGGCAAAGGGCTTATAGTTCCAGAGGGTTGATGTCTATCAATGTGGGGACAGCATGGCAGCAGGCCACAAGCATGGTGGCTGGAGCAGGAAGCTCAAAGCTCACATCTTTACATGAGCATGAAGCCAAGAAAGCAAACGGAAAGCAGGACAAGAATATAGACCATTTCAAAGTCCAACCCCATGAGTACTCTTCCAGGAAGGCTACACCACCCAAATGTCCCCAAGTTGGGCCACTGACAGGAAACCCTGAGTTCAAATACGGGAGCCTTTCAGTCCACCACATCTCACTCCCTGGTCTTCATAGGCTCCTGGCCATATAATGCTAAATGCATTTAGTACAACTTCAAAAGCCCCTGTAGTCTTTCACAGTCTTAACACTGTTAAGTCTAAAAGCCTAAAGTTTCTTCAGAATGTAACCCTCTGTAAAAATCAAAAGGCAAATCACATATTTCCAACACATGGCACAGAATATACATTACCATTCCAAAAGGGTGGGAGTGGGACATAGTAAGAAAACACTGGCCAAAGCATGAACAGGTTTCAGCAGAACAAACACCAAATCCTGTAGCTCTGTGTCTTCTGTCAGGGACTTAGATAGCTCCACCCCTCCAGCTTTCCAGCCTGTAGCATATATGCAGCTCTCCTTGGCAGATTTCTCATGGTGTTGACATCTCCAACATCTTGCGGTCTCCACTGCAACCAAGGTTCCCTTTCACAGCTCCACACAATCATCTCTCACAGCCTCTTACTCTCTCGGGGCCTTCATGCAGGAACTCCCTGCCACATGCTACCTGGCCTCAGAGGCTCTCTGAAGCCACAGAGGGAGGATGTATGACTCCCTCACTCATCTCCTTCATGTCTAAAGCCAGCACCATGGGACAACATAGCCAAGTGGGGCTACAAGCTTGGGATGGGGCCCCTTGAATCACATGAGCAGCAATGCTTTTATTCAGTTGCTTTCTGGGATCAGAAAATGCCTTAGGTTGTGTTTTAACACTGGAAGCTTGGCTAGGTGGGGTCTTGTGCAGAGTACCTTTTTCCTTTGTTCCAGTGCAGGGAAAGCTTCTCCTAAACCATGCTAATTTTCCTCTTTCCAGCACATGCCTTGGCTGCAACATTAAGCTTCCTAGAGCTCCTTTTCTCTACAAACTGTACATTTTTATCTCGTTTTCTATCCCAAATCTCCAAAATTCTTCCACAATACTCCTCTAAAAAACCAATATGTTCAAGTTCATCACAGCAATATCTTTCTCTCAGTACCAAGTTCTATTGTGTTAAGTCTAAAACCCAGGACAAAGGGCTGAGGGGCCTATTTAACATATCAAAGCTGACCTGGCCACCAGGTTCTCCCAGCATCCCTCAGTCTCTACCTGTTAGAGGGTATGGCTTACAACACTCTGACCTCTACTCTGAACTCTCCAGACCAGGGGTTGGGCTGCCCTTCCCCTAGAGGCTCTTCCCTATATAATCCAGACGTTTTGATTACCTGTACCTCTTTGTACTTTTGGGTCTCCTGGCTGCTGCACCGGGTTCCCCTCTGTCCCATTTCCCCTTCCTTTCTCCCCACATGGCCTAGCTCAGGGTCATGTACACTCTGGACTCTCCAGAGGTTCCTGCCTCTGGCTGTGCTCTCCCTCATATCTACAATAAACTTCTTCTCCATTATACCTAGAAGTTATGTCCTTTCTTTCCTTTTATTTCTTTTTTTCATTCATATTGGCACTAAGCTTTTCTACTGCTGTGATAAAATGCCACAACCAAGGCAACTTAGAAAACAGTTTATTTTGGCTTATGGTTCCAGAGGTTAGAAATTGTAATGGCAGGACAGCATGGCGGCAGGCATGGCAGCCAGTGCAGAAAGTTGAGAGCTCACATCCTTTACCATAAGCACAGCAGAGAGAGTGAATTGGAAGTAGGGCAAGGATATATAACCTCAAAGCTTTTCCCAACAGGGCTGCTCCACCTAAACCTTCCCAAATATCAGCACCAATGTGGGGACCACATGTTTGGATATGGGGAGCATTTCTCACTTGACCCACCACACCCTGACATGCTGACCCTGGCTACGTAGTACTTGCCTTTTATGTGCATTTCTAACCAAATGGTTTTGTGGAGCTATCTGGGTAGAAACTAATAACGTTAGTTTTTGTCTTCATTTAGATTAAGGTCTTTTATACCATCTATCTCAAATTGCTTTGCATATAACAGACACTGAATATTGCTGACTCATCATTGGCTATAGTAACATAATAATGAACTGAATCACCACACTGATTCCTGAAGGGCTCCTCTCTTCATTGATGGTCTTTACTGAGGTCAACAGTTTTTTTCATGACCAAAGTGATCCTGGGGGGAAATCTGTGGGTTATTTCTTTATTTCATTTAAGAATTGTGCCACTATTTAATAAAGCTGAGATCCTAGAAAAAAAAAAAAAAAACGTTTTTAGTGATTGATTTCTGGCAACAACAACAGATCAAATGAATATGAAATTCAAGGCTAATTTAACATTACATCATAGTTTGTTTGAAGCTGCTGCAGACATAAATAAAGGTAACTAATATCTTGACTTTTTCTAGAAGAAAGAATGAAAATGTCTTCAACATGACAAGTGAACTAAGCAGACAGAAGAGGACAAGGTTCTTTGTTAAAGTAAATATCTCTAATAATTCACAAATGGCAGAATTAAAAGAAATTTACTCAGAATTCATCCTTTTTTTTTTTTAAAGTAAAGCCAAAATACTCACTATCAGACCTTTTGCAATTGAGCTTAGGACCTAAGCAATGGGCAATCCAGAAGCCACTGAATTCCATATCCTTCTGCCTATACCTATTTCTTGGTGGGTGGGGGGGAGTGGCTTTAGAGACAGGGTTTCTCTGTGTATCCCTGGCTGTCCGGGAAATCGCTCTGAAGACCAGGCTGGTGATGGTGGCACACACTTTTAATCCCAGCACTTGGGAGGCAGAGGCAGGTAGATCTCTGAGTTCAACAGAAGCCTGGTCTACAGAGTGAGTTCCAGAGGGAAAAAAATTAAAATTAAGGGCTGAGTGTGTAGTTCAGTGCTGGAACCACTACCTAGCATGTGAGAAAGCCCCTAGGGTTCAATCCCAGTGACAAGGACCAAACACATTTGTTGACGTTTGGAATTTCTACAAAAAAGAAAAAGTTCTTAATAAAGTATTCTATCAAGGGTATGATGAGGCATTGGTTGGACTAAAGAGGTTACGGATTCATTTTCTTTTCTTTTTTAAAATGTGCATTGATGTTTTGTCATGGGTGCTGGGTCCCCTGGAACTGGAGTTACAGACAGCTGTGAGCTGCTTTGTGGGTGCTGGGAATTGAACCTGGGTCCTCTGGAAGAGCAGTCAGTGCTTTAACCGCTGAGCCATCTCTCTGGCCCTGAATTCATTTTCTAAGATTAAATAAAGGACACTGGTAGATAATATGCATGTATAAATCAAGAGATGCAATGTGTGTATAAACTTTATCCTCTTCTTTGTTCATTTTATTCTATTACTGTATATGTGTTTTATGTGGGCCACCACGTGATAAACTGAGTCCCCAACTCCTTAATAGGGTGCAATATGCTGTTGAAAAATGCGACGTGATGTTTATCAATCTAATTCGGAAAAGAATACACAAATCGGAAAACCAGGTGAGTTCAGAGCCGTGCTCTTTTGTTCCTGAAGCCAGGCTGAGGCAGGACTGCTGCAAATTCAAGAGTTTGAGGCCAGCCTAGGCCACAGACCAAATCCCGCCCCCCTCCCCCTACATAAAAAAAAGACAAAACAAAACTTGTTCTTCCTTCTGGAGTCTTTTCTTCCACAAACAACATTTATCTATCGTGAAGGGAAGGCTATAAAAATATCTGTGGGCCCCTGCCCCGCACAACCGGTACCCACGTACCTCTCCCGCAGTGGCTGGCTCCCCTGTGCCAACGATCAGACCCGCCTCTCGATACCTAGCCCCGCCCACAACGCCCCTGTCCTCCGAGGCGCCCCGCCCCTCGGCGCTGAGGCCCCGCCCCGCCCCGCCCCGCCCCGCCCCCTGGCCTCAGGCCTCTGCGGCGGCCTAGGCGCTCGGCGCCTGCTCAGTGCGGGCCGCGGCGCGCGAGGTGGCAGGGGCCGCGGCTCAGCCATGGCGTCGGCCGCCCTGGGCAGCTCGTCGAGCTCGGCGTCCCCAGCCGTGGCCGAACTCTGCCAGAACACCCCGGAGACCTTTCTGGAGGCCTCCAAGCTGCTGCTCACCTACGCCGACAACATCCTGAGGTGCAGCCGGGGCCCTCGAGCCTGGGAGCCGCAGACGGGCGGGGCCGCCGGCGCTCGGGCCTGAGGCGGGGCGGGCAGGGCGACGAGGGCTCGCCGAGGTTGTCACTGCCGCTGACAGCCCTGGTGTCCCATCTCACTGCAGGATCCCGGCTCTGTGACCCAGCCCGAGTGCGGGTTAAATATTCACGCCGTGTTTGGTGGTTGAAACATTTGTGGTTTAAAGTTACGAACTTCCTATTAATGTCTGGG